TTATATTTTACTTCATGAAAGGAAGAACGATCCTGAACTTAAGAGCACCTCCACACAGAGTCAAGAAGCAATCTGGCACAATACTGGATAAGAAAAATCTTGCCAACAATACAGAAAAGCAAAACTGCAGAATATGTGGCAATGGGGAAATTGTAGTCCTTGACTTACAACCATTCATTTAGGGACCATTCAAAGTTACAATAGCACTGAAACAATGTGACTTACAACCAGTCCTCACACTTACAACAGTTGTAGTAGCCCCACAATCATATGATCAAAATTTGGTTGCATATTTACAGTAGTTGCAGTGTCGCAAGTTCATGTGATGGCCACTTCTGACCTTCTCTGCTGGCTTCTGGTAAGCAAAATCAACAGGGAAATTCAGATTTGTTTAACAACCAAATGATTCACTTAACAACTGCATTGATTGACTTAAACAATCATGCCAAAAAAGGTCATAAAATTGGGCACAACTGATTTAACAACTGCTTTGTTTAGCAATTGAAATTCTGGTTGGTCATAAGTTAAATACTACTAGTATATATTCATAATAGAAATCTAGCCATATTAACCAGCTTGTGCAAAGCAATAGTATTTTTGTTTTTTAACAAAGATTAATAACAGCATATATGAGTAAAGGATTACTTCTTATTCTATTCATTTCCCCCTTTTTTCTTGTTGCTGTTTACTTAATTAATAAACATAACAACTTAGTTTCCCCATTTCTATCTGGGTGCTTTATCAACCACATCAAACTGGCCCTTGGTCCCCAGTCATCATTGTGAAATTTAGATTGACTTTCCACACTGTGGCACCATTCAAATGTACAGCTAATGCATTTCCCAAAATTCCCAGGGAATATGGTCAGAAGGGGTAAATTTTAAAAAGGAGGAATTAAATTAAACATCATGATAACTGAAGAATGCAAGCAACTGTTTGGGTAATTTTGCTCCTCTGGGACTATTCTATTTCTTTTCATCCTTATTCATATTCAATTCTGAAATTCATTTAAAAATGTGATATTTCCATGGGATTGTAGTTCATAACTAGGGTACCACAACTAAGAATTCTCTATTTCTTGCAAAAGATCTACATAAAGACTTCCGTTCAGAGTTAAATTTTGCCCATTTCTTCTAATGAGAACCTTTATTTTTGTCATCCCTGCCACTTTTATCAAATCAAATCAAATCAAATCAAATGTTTATTGTCAATGCAGAACATGTGTACAATAAAATTGAAAATCATCACTTTCATTAATCATTGTCTCATTGTCATTGTAGTATAATCTTTCCAACACGGGCGTATAGAAGTCTTGGTGTTTTTACCAAATATAGGATTTAAGTACCGTCAGTTTTTTTCTAGCATTTTCTCCATCAACCCCAATAAGAAAATATCTGGTTTAAATTGTATCTAAAGTTTCAATTTTTTCTTTAATTAATGTATATAACAATAGAATAACAAAATTGGAAGGGACCTTGGAAGTCTTCTAGTTCAAGACCATTTCAGACAAGTGGTTGTCCAGTCTTTTCTTAAAAACCTCCACTGATGGAGCACTCACAACCTCTGGAGTTGTCCACTGATATATTGTTCGAAATGTCAGGAAATTCATCCTTAGTTCTAGGTTGGTTCTCTCCTTTCCATCCATTGCTTCCACCCTCAAGTACTTTGGAAAATAGGTGGACCTTCTCTTCTCTGTGACAGACCCTCAAATATTGGAACTACTATAATGTCACCCCTAGTTTGCATTTCTGTCCAACATTGTTTTGCTTCGTTGCATTCCATGATAGAATGTTCCTTCTGATTTTATACTGCCAACAAATATTTAATGGTGGAAGTACACTGAACTGGGCTTGTGATATGGATGGACCAAGCAATACAGTTTTTTTTAAGTAATCAGAGAACAATATGTTAATCAACACAAATATTATGCTCATTATTGCTTGTCTGCTTCAAGATAATTTTTGACAAAATTATATATGAATTAATGGATTAGTGAAGGAAGGATTGTCAGTTTAAACTAGATGCTGAATGCTGAATGATTTTTTTCAAAACACCAAACATATTTGCCTATCAGAAAACCTATATTAATTAATAACAGTAAATATCTATTTTGAGGGGAATCTGGAAAATTCTCCATAATGATTTATCACCCAGTGTTTGTTGCTTAGCAGCTAATTTGGATATTACTAAAAATATGAACAAATAGATTTTCTGAGATCCAATATATTACAGCTTTGCTTTATATATTTATCTTCAACGAAGGAGTCATTGAAAGAATGAAACTTTAGCCTGTTTCATCAATATTAAAAAAACCCCAATAATCTCAAAGTTCAGTTTTTAGGAGATACTTATCAGTCAATAAGTAATGGCCACTTTATTTTTATCATCAATTAATATCTAATTTGGAATGTGGATAAATAGGTTATTTAAATGATGTTCTTCAAATGGAATGAATCCTCAAGCGCATAGGACAGTGATGGCTAACCTTTTTGGTGCCAAGTGCCCAAAGCACATGGGCACCCAACCCCAAAATGCAATGTGAGAACCACCCCGTACATGTGACCCACCATGCATGCACCCCCCTGGTGCATGCGCGCACGTCCCCCCGTCCATGCACCCCGCCTTCACCCATTTTTGGCTTCCAGGTTGCAGGAGGCTTTCCAGGTCCAAAAAGGTGCACTGGGTCGCCATGCCTCCGTGCCCCGTTTTGGCTTCCAGGTTGGTGCAGGAGGCCTTTCATGCCCAAAATGGAGTGTAGGAGGGTGTGCACGTGCGTGCAAACCTCAAAATGCAATGCAAGCGCCCCCCCCCGCATGTGCGTCCACACATCCCCCGCATGCACCCTGCCCCTTCAGACATGCGCAGCAGAGACCCGAAAACCAGCTGGCTGGTGGGAGATGTGCGCGCATGCATGGTGGAGCTGGGCTGGGTCAACGGCTAGCGTGAACACAGAGAGGGTCCTGCGTGCCATAGGTTTGCCATCACGGGCATAGGAAAATGCCTTTAACTGAGTTAGATTTCTCATTCAGCCAGCCTAAATATTTATTTTTAAGATGTCTTGCCTGTTTTTGATTATACCCAGAGCGCCAATAGCAATTTACAATTTCCCCAGAGTTCCATATAACAATCTCTCATCTAGGGCTCTTAATTTTTAGCATGGAACTTGAACCCACCAGATTAAACCCGGAAGAGTGCTTCCTACTGGAAATCCAATCTTCACTGAACCCTAAAATAAATTATGGTAATATTTTAGAAAGTATCATTTTCTGTGGTGTTTAGAGCTGTTGCCGGGAGGACAAGAACCACAATGTTAGTAGGTCCTGCTGCTTGTGAGTGAAGGTCCTTCCCAACTAACATTAGCTCAGATATTTGCAATCAGTTGCATATGCAAAGCACTATCCAAGCCATTATTTATCCTTGCAAAATTTGGGCAAATGTGCCCAAGTTCTGACAGGCATCCTCAGCATTTAATAGCCACCTGCCAGCTGGCGTAATGATGGCCCTAAATAAATAGATAAAAATAGCATTGACTTTCTTCTCTCCAAGTGAGAAGTAACATTTCTGTGCCAGCAAGCAATTTGGAGGTTTTAAAGTATAAAAGACATGTCCCTTAGGCATGCCTGATTCTTATTGTATTGCAATAAGTCCCACCTATACATAGGCTGTATCACTTCTGGAGTTGGCCAAGTGTAATTGGCCACACAAGGAATTTGCCTCTGGTGCATAAGCTCTCTCTCAGCTGGTCCAAGATTTGCCTCACCAAAGTGAATAAAGACACCAGCTTCTGTACAGACCAATGATGGTTTATTCCATGATAAGCAAACAGCAAACACTCTCTTCTGGCAAGAATGGCTCAAAGCCAGGTAAGGTTAGCACTGAGAGCTTTCATTCTTCATTCTCTTTTATTAGTATCACAATCACAGCCCTGCCTACACGCAGCTGCACTCCTGGCCCGCCTAGCCCATTATCCCCTCATGCTACCTTCTCATAATTGCATCAGTATAACCACCTAACCTCCTGTCTTAGATTGCCTCTTCCTAATGGATCCCCAACTCATGTACCCTCCACCATCCACCCACCGCTCCAGCCCACTCGTATGTGCCCCTCAAGTGCCCCTACGGGCTGGCATAAATTCCAGCACTTGTAGCGGCTTCCACGCCATCAGTAGTTCAGCTGCCATACCTCCTCCGCTGTCAGCAGGACTGGGGAGAAACATCACATCTGTTACATCACATGGAACGTGACTCAGCTGCAGCTAGGGCGTTGTGGTGTCTGGGAGCCACGAAAGGGGAATTTTGCCAACCGCCAACTCCCGCTGAACTGTCGGGCTCTGAGGTAAACTACGCCGCTCTCAGAGCCCGACACTCTCAGTGTACATACAATCAACAAATGATCAATCATGGTCATAATCATCATAAGGTACATTCATCAGAAATCATAAAATACGACTCTTCGTGATAGACATAAGATAGTTAGTAAGCAGTCAACATAAATCACACTAGGTATTCTAAATAAAATAATTAATATAAATCATAAGATACAAGCAACAAAGTTATAGTCATAAGAAGATAAGGAAATAGGTTATAGGAAAGATGAGAAGAATAACAGTACTACAGCCCTAGTGTTGTAGTATGACAGTGTTGTTTAGAAGAGTGATGGCATGGGGGAGTAAATGCAAATTTGTTTTAGGAAAGAGGCACTGAGTTTTCCTCAGTGATTAAGACATCTTCATCATACAGTTGTAAGACGGCTCCTAAATTTGACAGATGAGGTGCAACTTACTGATAAAGAAGAATATTTGTAGCTCAGCATTGAAATTGAGAGTCCTTGGTACTCTCTGAGCTTGGTTGCTTTCTTGCAGACATTTCATTACTCAAACTAGGTAATATCAGTGCTAACAGGGAATGGTGTGTGCTCTCAATTTATATTTTAGTGACTTGCCCTGTCAATGTTGATGGGAATGGTCTTGGAGGTTCTTTAATGGGGTGTTTACTGTTAGCTTCTTTGATTGAGGTATTGTTTACTTCCTGTTTGTTGGTCTGAGGTTAATCTTGGTGTTAATCTCTGCTCACCTGGGCTTTGATTGCTGGTGGGAAGCTGTTTTAGTCTTTTTGTTTCCTTTTAGGTTTGCCTTGTTGATTTCTTTTACACAATATGTAGATGTTGTTTATTTTTATGTGTCTTATCAGCCAACTTGTCAGAATTCCAGCCTTCTAGAAATTCTCTAGTGTTTTGGGCTTCTCTTGGTCAAGGATGCATATAGTTTCCCAGTTGAAACTATGGTTAGGTCTGTCCATATGTTGTGAAATTAAAGAGTTTTCATTATGCCTGTTGAGTGCTAAGTGTTCATGGATGTGTTCTGCTAGTCTTCTTCTTGTACATAGGGAATGTTGCGGTCTTTACACTGTATGTTGTACACAGTGGTGGTATTCAAATGTTTTTACTACTGGTTCTGTGGGCATAGCTTGGTGGGCGTGGTGTGGCTTGGTCAGCATAGCGTGGCTTAGTCAGTGGCAGGGGAAGGATACTGCAAAATCCCCATTCCCTGCCCACCCCACTAACCTGCCTTCCAGCTCTGTTCTCCTGTGTAGGGCAACCAAAGAAGACCCAGCTGATCAGCTGGGACTCAATGGGAGGCAGAGAATAGATGGGGGCCAGAGGTGGTATTTGCGGGTTCTCCGAACTATTCAAAATTTCTGCTACCGGTTCTCCAGAATTGGTCAGAACCTGCTGAATACCACCTCTGCTTGTACAATATATGAATTGTTTTTTCTTCTGCTGGAAATGTAAACTTAAATTATAAAATCTGACAGTAGTAGTAGTAGTTGTGATATACTAAAGTTGGAATAAGATTATAGTTGCATTCTCTCCCCAACGTTTATTTTTAATGAGCAACACACGCATCTACTGTGAGCTATTGAGAGATATTAACTCTGGGAATTATTGATTTTCAGTCTACTCTAATGCTTCATTGAGAGCACCAAGCCCCTTCTTGAATATCTACAGAGTGAAGAGAGAGAGATTACTGATAAGTGAGAGATTATTTTGAAAAACTTCCTTATTTATGAGATGATATCGAGGCCAAAGTGAAGCCACAATTGGAAAGTCTAAAGATGTATTCTGTGGCTGATTATTATTATTATTATTATTATTATTATTATTATTATTATTATTATTACTATTACTATTACTATTATTACTATTATTATCTATTATTATTACTATCATTATCTATTATTATACATAAAAATGACAATATACACAGCAAACGAGATAACCATGCTGGATTTCATATCACAAATCACTAGTTGAACACTTCCCAAGTGTTTAGGACTGCGTGGTGTATCGACGGATTATGTGAGCAGATTCCAGTAAGGTGGCCTTCTGCAGCTGACTGATGGTGATCTTGTCAGCGCCAGTTGTTCTTAAGTGCTTGCCTAGATCTTTAGGCACAGCACCCAGTGTGCCAAGTACCACTGGAACCACTTGCACTGGTTTATGCCGGAGTCTCTGCAGTTCAATTCTCAAGTCCTGATATCTGGTGATTTTTTCAAGTTGTTTCTCGTCCATTCTGCTGTCACCAGGTATGGCAATGTCGACGATCCACACTTTTTTCTATCTGGGGTATTGTGTTCCAAAACTTTGTCAGTCTGTATTTGGAAGTCCCACAGTAGTTTTGCATGCTCATTTTCGACCACTTTTTCAGGCTTACGATCCCACCAGTTCTATTATTATTATTATTATTATTATTATTATTATTATTGTTGTTGTTGTTGTTGTTGTTGTTGTTGTTGTTATTATTATTCAGACCAGAAGAAAAAAAATGCCCATAATGATCTTGCTCACAGCCTTTTGACTTGGATGGTTTCCAGGCTCCATACATTCCATACTTATTCATCATTTTCACATTTAGGAAATGATAGCTTTGGAGGTCTAGGTTTTTAACCATCTCAGTATTCAAATTACAGGAAATGGGTTGCCTGCAGATAGATAGCAAGTGTAGCTTAGCTGAGCATGTAGCTAAAATAATATTTTCAAAGGAAATACAAAGAATAAAAGTGTTGATGTATAATTTTTTCCTATTTAAAAAAATGGAACAGTCCTGTACCTAATTTTAATGCTATCTGGGGTGTTGCAATCAAGAGAAAGTTAAACCAGGCACTAAGATAATAAGGACGCTATGCCCCAAGTTTTAAAGAATCTGATTTATTTCCAAAGATAATTAAGTTTGATCCTTTGTAATAACACAAAACTCTTCTGGCTCTTCCTGTAGACTTGCAAAGATTTGGTCAAGAATAGTGATGTCTGTAGCTAATTTGTTGGGTTTCATTTAGAAACAAATCTCATCAATATTAAGTAAGGTAGATTCTTCAAAATTAGAATCCACAGATGGCTTTCATCTGCTTGGTCTTTTTCAGGATGTAAGTAATTAAATTGGGTTAGTAAAAGGCCATTCCTCTGCCTTGTATTTGCACAGTAATAACCTACCCTAGATATATCCATATTGATTAGCATAGGCTGGCAAAGAAGTAGCAAGTAGAAATAGAAGAAAAGCATTGCTGAGTTAGTTGAAGGAATGTCTATTCCAACAACCATGCCGATTTGTTCCTTTGTTGAATAACACATTTATTTTGAATGTTCAATCAAGATGTCATTCCTTGTAATGTAAGCACATTGTTTCTTTTCCTGTTTTCTGGAACAACTGAGCAATTCAGCCCCATCTTCTCAATGATATCTTTATAGATGCTTAAAGGTCATTCTATGGTTTATTCTTTCACATGCTAAATGTAGTTCCCAGTGGCTACAACCATCAGATATTTTTTCCCTTCTAGATCAGGGTATCAAACTCAAGGCCCAGGGGCCGTATCTGGCCTGCAGGGAGCTTAGATCTGGCCCATAAGGCTGCCCTGAAAACAATGAAGGACTCAGATGTGGTATTCAGCAGATCCTGAACAGTTCTGGAGAACTGGTAGCGGAAAATTTGAGTAGTTTGGAGAACCCACAAATCCCACCTCTGACTGGTCCTGCCCCCATCTATTCTCTGCCTCCCATTGAGTCCCGGTTGATCAGCTGGGTCTTCTTTGGTTGCCCTGCACAGGAGAACGGAGCTGGAAAGCAGGTTAGTGGGGTGGGGAGGGAATGGGATTTTGCAGTAACCTTCCCCCAAGAGTGGAGGATGACCAGCAGGTAGGTGGACTCAGTTTGATGTAGCATTATTGGAAGAGCTGTAAAACCAGGTTACAGACAGATTGTCATAGGGAAAATCTGTCCATGTGATTTATGTTTTGACAGCAATTTGATGGGACATATCAATCAATCTGCCAATAATTATTAAGACAGACAAATCATCAAACTATTGAGTACATCCTACAAATAAAACTGAAACTACAAATATTTTTGTTAGGTATAATTCCAGAAAACATAATTGAAAAATGTTACAATTTGCTATGTTGACAGCTTCAAGGCTGCGTTTGGCATAATATTGGAAAAGAAGGATTATAGGAGTGATATTAGACTAGAAGATCAAAACTCGAGAATTTGCTGGAATGGCAAAATTACCAAATTTATTAAGCGTCCATAATAAAACTGTATCCAAATTTAAGCAGGAATGGCTCCTTTTATGTTCACATTACACAGCAAGGTAAATAAATAATTTGGAATATGGTTTCTAGGAAAAAGTTACATGAGATCTATTAAAAGGACTAAACGAAGCTAATCAAGCAGATACTAGCAGTAACGTTCATTGTAAAGTAACAATATCTAAGTTGTGGTTGGTAATTGGAAAAACAAATAGGGAAGAGGAAGATTTTCTGTAATCTTTTTTATTTATTTATGCTTTGCAATTGTTCCTCTTCATTTTATTTCACCATCATTATCTAATGTAGATTTCATTTGTCAAAACCTCCCACACCTATCATAAAATTGATTGTTCAAACTATGCTTTAGAGCAGGGCAGTCCAACCGTGGCAGTTTTAAGACCTCTAGACTTCAACTCCCAGAATTCCCCAGCCAACAGAATAATGGTTCTTAAATTAAGGATAATTCGGGCATATCCTGGGGGTAGTGGACCAGTTGTGAATTGGCGCTCTGATCTGGACAGCCCAAGTACAAGAGGACTCGGGCAAAGACTTCTTTTCAAAGCTTAGCTTTGGAAGTCTATTTGGGACCATTGCGAGGATCTTCAGTCAGCAATTAAATGTACTTGAATTGTGAGAAGATGGCTTTATAGAATTCCCAGCTCTGTCCTAACAGCAGAAGCTGGTGTGAATTTACCTACACCCGAAGGAGATTAAGAGAACGTTTATGAATCCCTATATCCTCCATACTATATGTATCATTGGAACTATTTTGGCTACTTACATACTTTGAGAATTGGAGTTGGGGACTTACTGGAAAATAATTGTGAGAAAGGAGGGAGGGAGGGAGCAGAGGTGGGTATTCAGCAGGTTCTGATCAGTTCTGGAGAACCGGTAGTAGAAATTTTGAGTAGTTTGGAGAACCAGCAAATACCGCCTCTGACTGGCCCCGCCCCCATCTATTCTCTGCCTCCCGAGTCCCAGCTGATCGTCTGGGTCTTCTTTGGTTGCTCTGCACAGGAGAACGGAGCTGGAAAGCAGGTTAGTGGGGTGGGGTGGGGGGGAATGGGATTTTGCAGTATCCTTCCCCTGCCACCCCCACCAAGCCACGCCCACAGAACTGGTAGTAAAAAATGTTGAATCCTACCATTGGAAAGACTGGCAGTTGGTGCCTCTGCCAGTGAAAAGTGAGCTCGGCAGGGCTGTAGGCGGCCCTTCCGAGCTCTGCTTTTGCTGGCAGAAGATTGCAGGAGGCCATCACAGCCAAAAACAGAGCTCAGGAGCCTGTTTTTGCTGGCAGAATACTCGGTCCACCACAGGCATCCCCGACATGAATGACATTGAGCTGGCCACGCCTACCCCGGCCACCCGAGGTCAAACACAATGGCTGATTCAGCCCTCAATGTCTTACATTTCTTAAACATACACAGTTTGATAATATGCTTCCTAAAATGTAGTACACAGAATTGGATGCTGTATTCCATAAAAGAATAGCAGTGCAGAATAGAAAGGAAGACTTCATCATGTTATTTGGGCACGGTACACTGGACATAAGTTAATGCAGTCTAGGATTTTATGTCCAAGAACTGTCACACCGCCTGTATGCACAAATGCAATGAGTCATCTGTAATCTTACTTTGATCTCCTTATTACTTGCAGGCAGTCCTTGACTTACAACTATAAGACTATTTCATTTATGCGGTGCTTTTTCTCTGTTTTTAAAAAAATGGAACACCTGTCAGGACTGCATGATTTTAACCATGGAATCAAAGAGATAGATGCCTAGGAATTTTATTTTATTTTTTGGCATTGCTTTACTACTGCAGCTGTGGGAAGAGTACAAGATGGAAAGGATATTCTTTTAATTCAAAGAAGCTAAAATCTCTTGATATAGGAAGAGATACCAATATATTAAATGAAAACATTCATGGTCAATACTGTTGGCTTATGCTGATTGTTTCACTTTTACTGGATCTGTGCCAGGATATCATGTCCAAGCTGGTTTCCCTCGCATGCTGCCCGGGTGGAAGTAGCTTCTTGTAGAGGAACGGCCTAGAGTAGGGATGGCCAATTTTGGCAACTTTAAGGCTTGTGGACTTCAACTCCTAGAATTTGCAGTCGTCATGCTGGTTTGTTGCACGCTGAAATTGTCTAGATTTCCCTTTGGTCACCTATATTTTTTGAATTTGTTTTGAAAGTCACTTCTTCTCATCTGTAGGCAGCTATAAAGATTAGATCACTCAGCTGTTGTGGCATAGTGGTGACCACAGCCAGGAGTTCGATTCTGACCAGTTCAAGGTTGACTTAGCCTCCTGAGTTCAGAAACACAACTTTCTTGTTGGGAGCAATATGCTAACATTTGTAAACCACTCAGAGAGTATTGTAAAGCACTATAGAGCAGTATATAAGCCTAGGTGCTATTGCTAAATCATGGCTGATCAAACATATTCCCTGTCAATCACAAGCCAACAGTGCCAGAGGAAGCACCACTGATGAGACAATAGAAGAAGAAGAAGAAGAAGAAGAAGAAGAAGAAGAAGAAGAAGAAG